CACGAGATACCTCAGCTATACTCTATTTATGTATTCTCTCGCGACATAGTCACGAATCCTGTATCGGTGAACGAATGGGCTAAAGTGGAAGGAGTTTTTACTCAAATTGAGTTCATATGTGATTCATTGGAGCAAGACATAAAATCTTATGATCACGACTACGTCCCAATCAGTATTATCTCTCTAAATGATTGTTCAAAGCGAGATTTAAATGACCTTGAGCCATCATTCATGTACTCAAAAGTACTGAAAGAGGTTTTATTCGATATCGAACACGATGAACATGCCAAGGAAGACTTTGTTCAACTGTTGCGCGAGCAGTATCGTGACAATGACTCTCAGATGAGAGTAATCGATGAGTTTGAGCGAGATTATGAGCCTCAGTTCGCCATCTGGTGGTATACTCGAGAGTGCTTTATCTATCCCATGCTCAATAGAGCCTTGCGGACTATGGACACCGATCTTGTAATGAAGATGGGTTTCTTTCTACGCGATCTTCATCGGCAGATCGAACAACTTCAGGCTCAACAATCGGCCGTTCAAGTTCCATTCGTTATCTATCGAGGCCAAAGAATGTCCAATACTGATTTCGGGAAGCTGCGCACTAGCAAAGGTGGTCTCTTGTCATTCAACAACTTTTTGTCGACCAGTACAGATCCAGAAGTGTCAGTAATGTATTCTCCAACTTCACCACATGATTCTGACATGACCGCAATACGATTTCAAATGAAAATTGACTTATCTCTTTCAACTACGCCGTTTGCCTCAATAGAGAACGTGAGTTACTTTGCCGATTCTGAAAAAGAGATTTTACTCTCGATGCACTCCGTATTTCGAATCAATCAAATGGAACAAATCGAAGATCGGCTTTGGCAGATGGAACTCACATTAACTAGTGACGATAATGATCAAGAGCTTAAACGACTCACGGAATGCATAAGAAAAGAGATACATGGGCCAACAGGATGGGATCGATTAGGTAAATTATTGATCAAAATTGGAAACTTCAATAGAGCCCAAGAAGTGTATCAGGCACTACTTGAAAAGACACCAAAAGACAATGAGAATAGATTGTCTATTCTCTATAATAGTTATGGACTCGTCCATTTCTACAAAGCGAATTTTGTAGAGGCACTCGAATTCTACCAAAAGGCCCTCGAAATCGAGCAAAAATCTCTTTCTCCATATCATTCATCTCTGGCCACTTTCTATAACAACATTGCTATGGTGTATAGCACCACGGGAGAGCACTCGAAAGCACTCGAATTTCATCAAAAAACACTTGAAATCCGAGAAAAATCTCTTCCTCCGACTCATCCTGATTTGGGTAATTCCTACAACAACATTGCTGTAGTGTATTACAAGATGGGAGAGTACTCAAAAGCACTCGCGTTCTATCAAAAGTCACTTGAAATTAAACAAAAATCCCTGCCTCCGTATCATCCATCTCTGGCCACTTCCTACAGCAACATTGCAGTGGTGTATAATAGTGCTGGAGAACATTCGAAAGCACTCGAATTCCATGATAAAATACTTGAAATCCAACAAAAATCTCTCCTTCCGACTCACCCAGATCTGGCCACTTCATATAAAATAATTGCTTTGGTGCACAGCAACATGGGAGAGTATTCAAAAGCACTTGAATTCTATCATAAATCACTTGAAATAGACCAAAAATCACTCTCTTCGAATCATCCATATCTGGCAACTTCCTACAATAACATCGCCACGGTGCATGACTACATGGGAGAGTACTCAAAAGCATTCGAATTCTATTATAAGTCACTTGAAATCCGACAAAAGTCACTCCCTCTTAATCAGGCAGATTTGGCTAATTCTTATAACAACATCGCTGCGGCTCATAACAACATGAGAGAGTACTCAAAAGCACTCGAATTCTACCAAAAATCACTTGAAATAGACGAGAAGTCTCTTTCTCCCAATCATCCAGATTTGGCTACGTCTTATAACAACATCGCTGCGGTGCATCACAACATGGGAGAGCACTCGAAAGCGCTCGAATTCTATCAAAAATCACTTGAAATCAACCAAAAATCTCTCTCGCCGAATCACCCAAGTTTGGGTACTATCTACAACAACATCGCTGTGGTGCATGCCGACATGAAAGAGTACTCGAAAGCACTCAAGTTTCATGAAAAGTCCCTTGAAATCCGGCAAAAATCTCTTCCTCCAACTCATTCGTCTCTGGCTATTAGTTATAACAACATCGCAGCGGTGCATTACAAAATGAAACAATATTCAAAAGCACTCGAATTTTGCAAACGCGCTGTGAAAATTGGGCAACAGTCATTACCTCCAAATCATCCTCACATTAAATGCTACCAAAAACAGCTAGCTGAAGTTCAAAAAATGTTGTAATCGCTTTGCTAGTGATTAGGCATGCACCGAACCCGGGAACAGACCGGGATTCCCGGCTCGGGAATTCCCGAGTTCGGTCATTCCCGGGTTCGGCTATTCCCGGGGTTCGGTCATTCCCGGGTTCGGTCGTACCGGGTTCGGTCATTCCCGGGGTTCGGTCATTCCTGGGGTTCAGTCATTCCCGGGTTCGGTCGTTCCCGGGTTCGGTCATTCTCGGGGTTCGGTCATTCTCGGGTTCGGTCATTCCCGGGTTCGGTCGTTCCCGAGTTCGGTCATTCCCGAGTTCGGTCATTCCCGAGTTCGGTCATTCCCGAGTTCGATCATTCCCGAGGCCAACCAATACTAAGTATTGCCTCAATCCAAATGTTTCATTCAATATAATATAGTTTCACTATCAGATAGATTTAATTAAGAGATTCATAGCAAAGGTAAATCGGAATCGAGAAATCCGGATCTGAAGTCAGTTTTTCAAAATTTTGAATTGCGTTTTTTGAGTTGAGGAAAGGGTTTTTTGAGAAAATAATGATATTTTATAAAGGTTGACGAAAGTGAATCGAGGTCGGAGAATCCGAATCTGAAGTCAGTTTTTCAAACTTTTGAATTGAGTTTTTTGAGTTGAGGAAAGGTTTTTTTGAGAAAATAATGACATTTTATAAAGGTTGACGAAAGTAAATCGGGGTCGGGGAATCCGAATCTGAAGTCAGTTTTTCAAAATTTTGTTAGCAGATCTTTTTGCTAATTTTCATTGAAAATGTCTGATATTTATGCAAAATAGATTTTTGTAAAAATCCTAGGAAAAATATTTGATATTTTCGGACCAGATTATTCTATCTATTCAATAAACTTACTCTACATCTTTCCAAATAGACAGCACGCCCGAATTCCTGAGTTCAGTATTCTTGATTTCAGTAGCTCCTGGATACCGAGATTCTCTGACTTTATGAATCATACAGCTCAAGCATCATTAAGAACTAATAGAGTGTGCATATATATATATATATGTCATTAGTTGATGAGTGCTAACAAAATTTTGAAAAACTGACTTCAGATTCGGATTCTCCGACCCCGATTTACTTTCGTCAACCTTTATAAAACAAGTAACGCTCGTCTGTAGACTCGCTTAGCTCTTTCTCGTAGAAGTGCTGTTTCTAAACTGTTAACAAATTGCTTATTTACGAAGTTCCACGATTCAAAATCAGCACATTCACACTGCATTATTCTGCCCAAGTGCATCTATCTACACGTTTGAGTTTAGCATTCTGAGCAGAAAGTTGGGCTGATTTTTTTCCAACACTATGATGAGATTAGTAAATTTTATTATCCGCTACTCTTGCCACCTAAATCTCATCATCGATGATAGATTCTGGCTTTTACCTCGAATCTCTGTGGCCAACTTTTTTTTATAAAAGGTAACGTTCCTAGATCGAATTACGGGCCAAAAAAATCTGATTGGTTGAATTGCCCCCCCCCCCTCCCCTGAAATCCTATTGGTTGAAACTGCAATGTCAAAAAACCTTCTTAGTCGATATCCCGACCAAAACTAACCTCTGATTATCCTTCGGTGAACCGTTATGTTCTTTTGACCCTCTGCGGACATACAAGCAAGCAAGCAGACAATTTATGTTTGTAAGACTCTTCTCTACCAGAAAGAGAATATCATTATTTTCTCAAAAAACCCTTCCCTCAACTCAAAAAACTCAATTCAAAATTTTGAAAAACTGACTTCAGATTCGGATTCCCCGACCCCGATTTACTTTCGTCAACCTTTATAAAATATCATTATTTTCTCAAAAAACCCTTTCCTCAACTCAAAAAACGCAATTCAAAATTTTGAAAAACTGACTTCAGATCCGGATTTCTCGATTCCGATTTACCTTTGCTATGAGTCTTTTAATTAAATCTATCTGATAGTGAAACTATATTATATTGAATGAAACATTTGGATTGAGGCAATACTTAGTATTGGTTGGCCCCGGGAATGACCGAACCCCGGGAATGACCGAACCCGGGAACGACCGAACCCGGGAATGATCGAACCCGGGAATGACCGAATCCCGAGAATGACCGAACCCGGGAACGACCGAACCCGGGAATGACCGAACCCCGGGAATGACCGAACCCCGGGAATGACCGAACCCGGTACGACCGAACCCGGGAATGACCGAACCCGGGAATGGCCTAACCCGGGAATGACCGAACCCGGGAAGTTCGGGCTCGGTGCATGTCTACTAGTGATAAAATAAATTCTTATTTCTCGCACATGTGCGTAAGGGTGTGGGTGGGTGTGGGGGTGTGGGTGTGGGTGGTGGGTGTGTGGATGTGGGTGTGGGTGTGGGTGTGGGTGTGGGTGTGGGTGTGGGTGTGGGTGTGGGTGTGTGGGTATGGATGTGGGTGTGGGTTAAATATTACACAGGGCCCACACTCACACCTACATCCACACCCCGCACCCCACACCCACACCCACACCCACACGTCCACCCTCACCCACACACACACACCACACCGACACAAACACCCACACACCCATACTCACACCCAAGATGAGAGGTGGATGTGGGCATAGTTGCAGTCGTCTCTTCTATCTGCACCCACACCGACACCCAGAATTTTTCAAAAAGTTTATGTGTAAACATGTTGCTGGTTTGGCTATTCGATTAAACTATTGCAAGTCACCACCTGCTGCTAAACAAGTTGAAGTTGGGGAAAAAAACGTCGTGGTAGACCAATGAAGTGCAAAAAAGCGCTATTAATTCAATAAATTTCTGTTAATTGTACAAACAGTTTCTTACCTGAAATAAACTAATAAAAAACTGAACAAAAGTAGATTAAATACTGAACATTTTTAAATTAATTACTGAGCACTTTTAAATTAAATACTGAAATATTGGAATTGTTTACTGAACTTCATGAATTATTTACTGAACAAAAATAATTGTTTTACTAAACAAAAACTACTGAACATTCATAATATAATACTGAACGATTAAATATAAACCAAAAAATTTTACTCCGTTTTAGAATTACTGACTCCTCAATTTTCTATATGAAGGAGCTATAATATTTCTGAAAATTTCATAAGTTTGACATGGAA